CTCAGTCTACCACAGACCAACTCATTCCACCTCAGTCCACCTCAGACCACCTCAGACCAACACAGAGCTACTCAGTCCACTTTAGACCAACACAGACCACCTCATTCCACCTCAGACCTCATTCCACCTCAGACCAGCACAGACCAACTCATTCCACCTCAGTCCACCTCAGACCACCTCAGACCAACACAGAGCTACTCAGTCCACTTTAGACCAACACAGACCACCTCATTCCACCTCAGACCAGCACAGACCAACTCATTCCACCTCAGTCCACCTCAGACCAACACAGACCACCTCATTCCACCTCAGACCAGCACAGACCAACTCATTCCACCTCAGACCAACACAGAGCTACTCAGTCCACTTTAGACCAACACAGACCACCTCAGTTCACCACAGACCAACTCATTCCACCTCAGTCCACCTCAGACCAACACAGACCAACTTATTCCACCTTAGACCAGCACAGACCAACTCATTCCACCTCGGTCCACCTCAGACCAACACAGAGCTACTCAGTCCACCTCAGACCAACACAGACCAACTTATTCCACCTCAGACCAGCACAGACCAACTCATTCCACCTCAGACCAACACAGAGCTACTCAGTCCACTTTAGACCAACACAGACCACCTCATTCCACCTCAGTTCACCACAGACCAACTCATTCCACCTCAGTCCACCTCAGACCAACACAGACCAACTCATTCCACCTTAGACCAGCACAGACCAACTCAGTTCACTTTAGACTAACACAGACCACCTCACTCCACCTAAGTCCACCTCAGACCAATACAGAGTACATTTTCCAACAGACTTAGTCCCCCTCAGACCAACACAGACTACCTCAGACCACCTCAGACCAACACAGACTACCTAAGTCCACCTTTTCCAACATTCGTACATTTTCCAACAGACTTAGTCCCCCTCAGACCAACACAGACTACCTCAGACCACCTCAGACCAACACAGACTACCTAAGTCCACCTTTTCCAACATTCGTACATTTTCCAACAGACTTAGTCCCCCTCAGACCAACACAGACTACCTCAGACCACCTCAGACCAACACAGACTACCTAAGTCCACCTTTTCCAACATTCGTACATTTTCCAACAGACTCAGTCCCCCTCAGTCCAGTTTTTGGAACGACTATGACCTGGATGACTGAGAATCTTCACCAGCATCGTTTGATCTATTTAAGAACCAAAGAACTTCAGTTTAATAAATTAACCCTAACATCAGCTAACACCCGCTAGATTAGCTAACATCAGCTAAAACCAGTTAACAGTAGAGGAAGACAGACTGATGATTACATGATACTGTAAATTCTTAGTGATGACATCTGCTAACATCTACTAGCATCAGCTAGCATTACTTAACCTCGAATAACATCCGCTAAGGGCAGCTAACCTAAGCTCACACCAGTTAACATCAGCCAACAAAGCTATCATATGCTAACATTAGATAACACAAGCTAACATCAGCTCACACCACTTAACATCAGCCAACATCAGCTAACATGAGCTAATATCAGCTAACACCAGCTTTTTAGCTAACATCAACTAACATTAGCCGGCATCAGCAAAAGCCAGCTCATTAGCTAACATCAGCTAACACTGCTACATTAGCTAACATTGCTAAAACTGTTAACAATAGAGGCAGGAAGACTTTGATAATTATATAATGATACTGTTAAATTACATTCTTATTGATGAAGAGCACATCTGCTAACATCTGCTAGCATTACCTAACCTTAGCTAATATCAGCTAACACCAGTTAACATCAGCTAACATAAGCTAACTCTAGCTAAAATCAGCTAACGCCAACAAACATCGGTAGACATCAGTTGATATCAGCTGATATTAGCTTCTCTGTCCTGAGTCGTTGTGGCTCATTAAGCTAACATTATAGAGGTGAAGGGGAGCAAGCAAACAGTGGATCAAAGCCACTCCACCACAGCAGGGGGAGCAGAGAGGACGAAAGAGCAGAAATCTACAGAGTTCATTTTCCAAAAGACTTCAAAGCTTCTTTGCCTTTTATTTTTGAGATGCTGAACCCAGCTGAGACCACAGAGCCAGCGCAGGAAAGCCTGGAGGCACTGCTTCATATAGGAAGTTTCCCCCTCCTCATCATCAGTTTCCTGCAGCAGCAACATGCATGTGAGGAATCAGGAGAACAACTACGTCTAAAATGATCTAAAATAATGTCCTAACAAACAAACATCCTCAGATCTCCATAAGCTTCTCCACATGAGGAGAAGCTCAAAGCATTGCCAGGATGTTGGTTCTGAATGTTTCTGCTCAGTAGAAGAGCTGAACCCACCTGTGAGGCGATGTACTTCTCCAGAGGACTCTCCACCTGGCCCATGTTCAGCATGGCCATGCTGCTCTGCTGCTCAGGAAGCTCCTCATTCAGCAGCAGCTTCCCTTTGAAGTTATGGACCACACACACCACCTACGGAAACAAAGACCACCACTGAGATGTCCCGGTCCGTCAGCCTCCTAGACCTAAGGGTCCCTGAAGAGTCAAACTAAAAGGTCTTGACTGAAAATGTTCATCAAGATGTTTTTCAACTAGAAAGGAAAATAGGCAAAAGAAGATGTGAACCATCTGCCTCCATCAGATCTGTAGCTGATCCCTCCTACATCATTATAATCCTGACAAAGTGGAGGATTCACTGAAACCTGGCAGCGGAGCAGGAAGGACATGCACTCTGTTAAAGTCGGGCATACACAGTGCGATTTTTCGAATTGTTGCACCAGCTACAACTCAAAGTGTACAACAAAACTGCAGGGTATAAAAGTTCACAGCTCACGATGTTTGTTCTCACACTGTGCACTCCGACACTCTGATGCGACCTACCTGCTCACACTGCTCAATCTGGAAGAACTCCCTTGTTCACGCATGCTCAGTGCTCGAGGTTCTGGTAAATCGGGTCATAGCTCTGCTTCAACAGCAGCGTTAGTACACAACCACCTCACGATGGCCGACTGAATTTACAACGTTTGATTTTCTCTCATAAACTTAAGCTAGGCTATCCTAATCCTGTACCATACACCGTGATCATAATTTTGGGAACCACGGTCCATGCTTTACCCTAACCCTAGCATACCAATTGGGTGAGGCGGAGGAAGGTTTGCCTTCAGACACACAACCCCCATTCCCACTACCCTTTGGAATCGATCCGTGCAGATTTCGGCCCGAGCTTGGATCAGTTAACTGTGCCAAGCTCGACCGTTTACAAACCACGCTAGCATGGTTCCTTGCCTCCTAGTGGCAATCTACGGTACTACTGCTCTCTATGATTAAAGGAGGGAATCAAGCAAACCAACATGGCTGCATGCGTAAGATTGAGGAATTTTGGTTCTAATTGTGATATTTCATTGCTTGAGGAGAGTCAGGCGAAGTTGAATTTACTTGACAGAGTCGGCTTTTGGGAAGTGGATACGACACACGATAGTCTAATCAGGGCTTCCAGACGCAGGAAACAAGGACAGACGTTAAGGTTCATCACTGGAAATATTGTGGCACGGTCGGGAAGCTAGGATTTCTATGAATGTCTGAGATGACGCGGTCTGCTCATGCGCTCTTTGTTATCTGCGAACTGAGCCAGAACTGAACCGTGCCGAGCCCTACTGATGAACTAGTACCATGTTAGCGCGGTTCGGTTACATCTGGCACGGTCTGGTTTAGTTCTGCAAGCTATTTACCCTCGACAGTTATCTGGGTTACCGTGCTCGGACCAATCTCGGCATAGTTTCAAAAGATCTGGTGGGTGACATCAGAAACCAAATGCTGCAAAAATAGACTGAAACATTTTTCTCTGATTTTCAGGAACTTTCTGATGCTTGAAGAGGTTAGAGTAGGGGGGGCTTTCCCCTGATGACAAAGAACAGGCTACTGTGGGGCTGCATGCTAAGCTGCTAACACTAAATGCTGGAGAACTAAAGCAGAGGTACAGGTCTGGTGCAAGTTAGGCGGAGTTTCCAGCTAAATAATTTGATTCTCTGATGATTTTGGATCATTTCATATGTTTGCTGTTTGGTAAAGAGAAGCTAAAAGGTTCAACCACATGGTAAGCTATGCTAAAACGTGTTGAGTTGTTGATAAACCTAAAACAGGCTTTATTTCCCTGAGGGTTTCAAGTCGTAGGGAAGCGGCTGTTCCAACCATTA